GGCCCTCAGGGACAAGTACCAGGTGTTCGACTCGGCCCCGCGGGGCCTGCTCCGGGTGGAGGAGCTGGAGGACCAGGGCCAGACGCTGGCCAACGTGTTCATCCTGCGGCTGCTGGAGAACGCGGACGACCGGGAGGCCACCTACATGCTCAAGGCGTCCTCTCAGTGAGTGCCCGCAGCGGCGGCCGGCGCCCAGGCGCTTCCCAGGTGGAGCGTGGCCCGCCGCGTCCCCGCCTCCCAGCCCCATGACCCCGGGGGGTCCCTGGGCCCGGCGGGTGCCCATCGGGTGCCCATCGGGTGCGAGGCCGCTAGGGGTGTGTGCACACGTGTGTCTTGTCCCCTCTGGCCTCCACTCCAGGCAGCACCCCCTTTCCGGTGAGCTGCTGGGAAACTCGGCCCTGGCCACGCGCCCCGTCTGCGCCGCCTGCAGCCCGGGGCTCTGAAAGGGGCGCTGAGCGTGGGAGGAGCCCCCCCCAGGCGCCTCCCCGCCCCGTCCAGGCCCCAGGCTAGGCTAACTTGGGGTGTCCCGAGGGCTGCGTCACTGACTGACTTTAAAGTGCGTCAGGCCTGCCCGAGCTCCCCGCGTGGGCGGCCTCTGAGCGCCCCGGGGCTGCCCCGCTGCAGCCTCAGCGGGCTGAGGGCGGCGGCCAGCTTCCGCGGGCCTGGCATGGGCACTGTCCTCTTGTGCAGGAGTGAGATGAAGCGCTGGATGACCTCGCTGGCCCCCAACCGGAGAACCAAGTTCGTTTCCTTCACCTCCAGGCTGCTGGGTGAGTGGCCCCGGGCGGGCGGGGCCCCGGGCCGGCCGGCGGCAGTGGGGAGCAGCCAGGGGCAGGGCGGGCCGGCTCCCCAGGGGGCTGCGCCCCTCAGGCGCTCCCGGCACCCGCCTGGGCGGCACCTCCCCGAGTCTTCCTGAGGGCTGTGGGCGCGGGAGCCGCCTCAGCTGCCAGCGGGCGGAGAACTCGGCCCACCTGCCCACGACACTGGGGTGTTAATAAGAAACAGGCGTCACGGGCCGAGGGGCCACGAGGGAGCCAACCGGCCCGAAGGCAAGCCGCGTGCTGGGGGGCGCCGTGGCTGTGGCAGGCCTGGGGCCGCGCCGCCCCCTGCCCCCCCAGGGCCGTCTCCAGAGCCCTGGCTGTGTGAATCGCGATTCTCTGGCAGCTCCCCGCTCCCCAGACCCCCTTTCTCAGGGTCCGCCTGCCACCCCTCAGTGAGGAACCCTCCCCCGCAGACTGCCCCCAGGTCCAGTGTGTGCACCCCTACGTGGCCCAGCAGCCCGACGAGCTGACGCTGGACCTGGCCGACATCCTGAACATCCTGGAGAAGACGGAGGATGGTGAGGGGCTGCCCGGGGTGGGGGCCAGCGCGGGGGGTGGGGGCGCCTGGCCTGCTGTCTCTGCTCTGGCCACCCCCACTCCAGTCCCCTTCCCGTACCCCGCAGGCCTTTCTGAGGCCCCCCACTTTGTCTGACTTCAGAACCCCTCACCCACTTCACAGCCAGCCCAGTGGGAGGAAAGATGGCAGACCCCTATGCCTGACCCCAGCCCTGGACCCGTATCTGCCACGAGCCGTCCGGGACCACCGGCTCAGAGCCGTGGGGGCACCGGCTCCTGCCCTCTGCTCAGGGTCTCTGTTCCGGAGGAGCGTCACACCGCTCCCCTAAAAAATGGCTCGCTCTTCTATGCCAGTTTTGGCTAATCAGAATCCCCCAGGGTGCCAGAGGACCTCCCTCGGCCCCTCCTCTCCCTGGCCGGAACACCTGGTGACCGCAGGGGAGGCTATTTCTGCAGTTCCCAAAGTCCAGGGGCCTGGCCCTGCCCCCTCCCAGAGGCTAAGCAGCCCGACACCCTCCCTAAGTGGCCAGAAGAGGCGAGCTCAGGCCCCACCCAGGTCTTGGCCCTGCCCAGGACGCGTGGTCACCTCTTGGAGAGCGGGACGCTGACTCCGGAGGCTGAGTCGGGGACCCCCCAACAGAGGGGTCCTGGCACGCCAGGCCAGATAACCAAGCGGCTGGCCACCACCCCACAGGCTCTTGGGATGGGGTCGGGTGTCCCTGCGGACCTCCTGGCCTCTGAGTGGCCAGGTCAGGCTGGGCGATGGATGCCAAGGCAGGGTCCCTGCACCGTGGCGGAGCGGGGCAGGGGCAGGGCCACCCCGGCCAAACCCACCGCTGCCCAGGAGGACTCATGGGGACACATCCAGCCAGCCTGCTCAGCAGGCGCCTCAGAAAGGCCAGCTGGGCTCCCGGGCTCTGCTCCTGGCCAGGGTTCCGCCAGCCCCCGGAGCTGCTCACCCCTTCCCTTGCAGGGTGGATCTTCGGGGAGCGGCTGCACGACCAGGAGAGAGGCTGGTTCCCCAGCTCCATGACTGAGGAGATCCTGAACCCCAAGATCCGGTCCCAGAACCTCAAGGAGTGTTTCCGTGTGCACAAGATGGACGACCCTCAGCGCAGCCAGAATAAGGACCGCAAGAAGCTGGGCAGCCGGAATCGGCAGTGACCCCGCGAGCCCGGGGTGGGGGGCCAGGCGGGAGTGGACACAGATGTGCTCTGGGGCATGCCAGCGCCCCCAGGCAGCAGGCTGTGGCCCCCCCTCGTCCCCGCCCCGCGGTGAGCGCCCCTGTGTCCTGGCCCCTCGCCCACAAACTGAAGACAGGGCGCCCGCTCTCCCGCTGCGACTGTAACTGAGAAAGTGTATTTTAAGCAGCATCGTGCGTCCCCTCTGCGCCCTGAGGCGGGAGGGGATTGTCACAGAGGCCCAGGCCGTGTCCCCGCTGATGAGGGCAGGTGCCAGCGAGGATTGGCATGACCCCTGCACGTGTCCTTCTCCGCCCTGGAAGCCCCTGGACGCCGCCAGGTGCACAGACGGACCGGCCCGCCCGCGGCGGGTTTCCAGCTCCCGGCGGGCGCCGAGACCGACCGGCTCTGTGCCCGCCCAAGCCCCGCGGCTCTGGCTGCGCAGCGGCCCTGCCTCCTGCAGGCCCGGCCCAGGCTGCTGCCCGCTCCCCGGCAGGCCCGACTGACTCGTGTCTTCCGGCCCCCTCAAGAGCCCAGGTGTTGCAGGAATGAACCGGTCACCGCATCCTTACCAGCTACAGTTCCAAGAAAGCAAACGATCATTTTTGGCTGCATTAAAGCATCATGTATAAAATAGGAAGTGAAGGTCTACTCTTTATTGCTCTTGTGCACATGGAGCAAAGCCATCTGGGTGGGTGGGAGGAGGCCCCCTTCGGTGGGCGGGAGCGAGGAGCCCCACTTCGGTGGGCTGGAGAGAAGAGCCCCCCCTTCAGTGGGCGGGAGCGAGGAGCCCCCCTTCAGTGGGCGGGAGCGGGGAGCCCCCCTTCAGTGGGCGGGAGCGAGGAGTCCCCCCTTCGGTGGGCGGGAGGGAGGAGCCCCCCTTCAGTGGGGGGGAGCAGGGAGCCCCCCTTCAGTGGGCGGGAGCGGGGAGCCCCCCCTTCAGTGGGCGGGAGCGAGGAGCCCCCCTTCAAGGCCGCGAGGGCGTGTCCCAGCGGGGCTCAGGCGGCGGCCAGGGCCAGGCCCAGGTGGCACTGGGTGTGCCTGTCCACCTGTAGGACTCAGAAAGAGAGAAAAGGCTGTTTGAGGGAGCTGGGGTCCCCCTTCTGCAGTGGACCCCCCTTATTCTGGCTGCAGAGGACTGGGGTGCCAGGGAGCACCCCAGACTCGGGCCAGGCTTCCGACCCGGGCATACTGCCTTGGCCCTTTTTCCCCCTTGGTGGCAACCGGTCCCCAGACAGGACAGCTCCTCCGCCACTGACCCTCACGGCCACCCAGCCCCAGGGCCGCCCTGGAATGGGGGGGCCTGGGCCCGCCCTCCGCCCCACCCCCAGTGGCCCTGACACGCTGTCCTCGGCACAGGCAGGCTGCTGGTGGGGCCTGGGTCTGCGGTCACGTGGGGCCTCGCGTCTCCCAAGGCCCGGGCAAGTCAGGTGAACCCCTGGAGTCGGCCCGTGCAGCACCCACGGGCCAGTGAGGGCTGATGCCCCCCGGACCGCCAGCCTGCCCCCGCCCCACTGGGGAGACCCTTGCTCCCAGGAGCGAGGACAGGGGTCATTTCAGAGCCCAGGCTGCTCGGGGAGATGGCGCGGGTGCCAGCCCTTGATGAAGCAGGAAACCAGCAGCTGACCAGTCACCCCCACAACAGGGCCTCAAGGAGGCTGAGGTGGAACGAAATCCCCCAGGCGGATGAGAAGTGGCGGGTTCTGTGGCAGTCCTTCGTAGGCAGAAACCTTTATCCAGGTGTGTGGGGAGTGAGCACGCCCCACGGTGCCAGGGGAAACTGGGCGCGGGCCGGCAGCCCAGGGAGATTCAAGGCCACTGCCCGAGACCAGGAGACTGACCATGTGAGGAAGAGGAGGAAGAGGAGGAACGACCTCCCCTCCCCTGGCACCCACAGGGAGGGCTCCGGGGCTCCTGGTGGGGGCCCCTCTCCCTCTCCCGGCTTTGCAGACAGCCCCCCGCCAGGCGGGCAGCCAGCACGCACGCCGGGGGCCTTGGCCGCGGCTAGTGGCCAAGTTCTGCCTTTTCCCAAGCTGCCCAGAGCTGGCCAGCCGCTGTTTTAAATCTCTCTCCACACTGTAAATGTCAGACCTCCTGGGACGGGCAAAGACGGAGGCCAGATGGCGCCAGGGCCAAGGTGACCCCGTAGGAGGAGGGGTCAGTGGCCACCGCCTCTTCCCGCCCCGCCCCGCCCCGCCCCTGCGACCTGTGGGAGTGAAGCGCCTCAAGAGTCTCGGGTTGAGCTTGGAAAAGTTTCTGGTTCTTTCTGCCCGCAAACCAGCAGGCCCGCGGGGCTGCCCCTTTAGCCCAGAAGCTGCCACACAGCCGACGCCCGCACCTCAGCCCAGCCAGCGCCCGGGGGCCAGGGCCCAGCCTCTCTCGCCACCTGTCCTCCCTGGATGCCACCTCCCCTCTCCGGGCCTGGGGCTGCCCTCCGGGCCCAGCTGGGGCGCAGCTGCCCTCGTTGGAAGCTGCCGCCTCAGCCCCGGATACCCTGGTCTCTGGGCGGCCTCCAGCCCTCCCACGGGGCCCCACACCCGGGCCAGCCCCAGTCTCCCTGACCAGTCCCCGGAGGTGGGTGGCTGCCCCTGGCAGGCTGGTCCGCCCTCTCCACCTCGCGCCCTTCTGGGCTGCCCAG